TTATTATTATTATTATTATTATTATTATTATTATTATTATTATTATTATTATTATTAGTAGTAGTAGTAGTAGTAGTAGTAGTAGTAGTAGTAGTAGTAGTAGTAGTAGTTGTTGTTGTTGTTGTTGTTGTTGTTGTTGTTTTATATGCCGCATTTCTCCCAACAAGGGACCCAAAGTGGCTCACAACATTAAAATTAACACAATTTAAAAATATAAGTTAAATATTAAAAGATAAATTAAACAGTATTTGATTTAAAATACAATTAAAAGATTAAAAAAGTAAAAAATTAAAACATAAAAAACTTTTGTAATTTTTTAAAGTTTTGTAATTATGTTTTTGGGAGCATGAGAGTTAAATACTTGAACTACAAGGGGTCAAGCACCCCAAGCTCTAGGGTTGTTGAAGGAAGAAGTGTACATTTTGTAGGTTTTCTGCCAAAAATACCCCAGCATATAGTAGGCTAGTCGTATCTATATTCAAGACAAAATCAATATCCAGAAAGAAGCACTGTGCTCAAGTAGTCTACCTCCACACTCTGGAGTCCCGAGGAGAAGAAATAGCCTGGCATTCAGTTTCACTTTACCCTCATTATGCGTAAATCAGAATCATAGTAAATAATAAATTTGTCCACTAAATAAGCTAGTATGATCACCGGTGGTTTGATGTTAGCTTGTTTAGTACATAAGTAGTTTATTTAGGAGGGCCTGGCATGCTCTGGTCCATGGAGTCATGAAGAGTCATACACGACTTAACGACTAAACAACAACAAGTTTAGACAATCCAGAAATAGGGTCCAATGATCATGAATGCTGGTTTATGCCTGGTACACAGGAGATGAGATGAGAGGCTTTACTTTGGCTCTATTTTTCTCACTCACATAGTCTTAAATCACAGTTTAACATTACATTCAATCCACCCAGACTATGCAATTACTAATCTTCAAGTGCACAAATATACTGGGCTGCACTTTTATCATTTTCTGATCATAGGAGTATATCTAGACGTATTTATAGCTAGCATAGACCTATGGAGAACAATGAGATATAAACTGGGCTACAGTATCTTAAATCCCACTGATTTGAATTGGTCTTTTCTGTGTATGTGAGATCCAGTGTGGTATAATAGATGAAGACAAGGACTCAGAAAATCTGGTTCAAATCTCTGTGTAGGCATGAAAACCAACTGGGGGTGACAATGGGGAACCACTCATTGAACATCTCACATACGTGAAAAATCCTATAAGGTCACTGTAAGTCAGAAGCAACTTCCAGACATACCGTGATGGGAACTATTCGAGGTCTGAATTCAAACCATAATCTTTTCTTTTCTATGTCCTAAATTCAGTTACTAGTCATATCTTTGGCTTGTAGACAAAGGGCCTTCTCGGCAGCTGCCCCCAGACTATGGAACACTCTCCCAACTGAAATTCATCTGGCGCCGACGTTGATGACATTTCGGCGCCAGGTCAAAACCTTCCTGTTCCAGAAGGCTTTTAATTGAGATAACATCAACTGTGGGTCCTGATGATGGCAAATTTTATTGTATTTTAATTGTATTTAATCATTTTATTTTTATTGTATTAAATTTTAATTATTGTAAGCCGCCCAGCGACCTCTGGGTAGAGTGGACGGCATATAAATTAAATAAATAAATAGACAGACAGACAGACAGACATAGATAGATAGATAGATAGATAGATAGATAGATAGATAGATAGATAGATAGATAGATAGATAGATAGATAGATAGATAGATAGATAGATAGATAGATAGATAGATAGATAGATAGATAGAGTACACCCACTGAATCTACTGCTAAATAATGAGTAACACTTCTGTAAATCTCTTATTCAACAGGTCTACTTAAGTTAGGACTACAAATTGGATTCAGGACTATGTCTTTTTGTATTTCTGTAGCTGGAAATCTTCTTTTGCATCAGTGTTTATCTAACTGGAAACTATACTAGAATGTATTTATACTACACTGTTTGGAGGGTGCTCTTTGGCTTTTTTTGCATTTCAAGGCTTTGAAATATCCTTCTTTGTTCTTTTCCTTCCTTGTTTTCAGGGTGGTGGTGATGGTAGTTCTGCATCATGTTGCTGGCATTTGTATTGTCACAGTGCATGAATTTGATGCTAAACATATAACTGTACTAATCTGTGTTGGATATATAAATAATGGAAAAAAACATGTCTAGGCACATTTTAAAGAAATAATTAATCTTCACACTATACCCTTGATACAAAATGTGACATTTATGCAATAAAATTGGAAACAGTTTATTCCCTATCACAACCCCCATAGTAGGCAGGGGGATTCTGGGAGTTGTAGTCCAACCCATCGAGAGCATGCCAGGTCAGGAAATGTTGATCTACAGTATACTGGCAATGATAAGCAGACCACCATCTTTGTGAGAATTGATGTGGTCACCTCCAGAGTAAGATAAAAGTTTATATATTAAACAAGTTGACTTTTTTCTAAATATTTTGCCATGATAGTGGGAGTTAGCACTGTGTTTTAGATTGTGGATACATCATTTTGAAGCAACTGCTGGTTATAAAACTTTTTTTAAAATTGTGTTCCATGTACAATATGCAGCCTACTAATCCAGCAAAGAATTCTCCACAGCATTTAATTCTGCCTTATGGCTTCCAAAAGAATGCATTCAGAAATCACTCCATAAAAGTAGCGTAAAGAGACTTGCGTACTGATAGCTGCACAAAACACTTGTCCTTATCCAGCTCTCAAGGAGCACCACCCCTCCGCTGCCCTGGCCAATCCTGATGAAATGTTTTATAATCCTTTTTTGTGCTGTGTTAAGAAAAGGAAGAAAGGACCTGGGAAAAGATTACTTACAAGGGGAAAAAAGAAAGTTGGGGGGGTGCTCTTAAACACAATGCGGAACATAATTAACTTCACGATTCTTTGTGTTTTTCATTTGACTGCAGGGTGGAGATGAAAGAGGGCTCTTAAGCCTTGCATTCCATCCCAATTACAAAAAAAATGGAAAGCTGTATGTGTCTTATACCACCAACCAAGAGCGATGGGCCATTGGTCCACATGACCATATCCTTAGGGTTGTAGAGTACACTGTCTCCAGGTATGCATTTTATGTTTGACCTTTGTAGAAGCTCTCATTATACAATGTGATTTGAAATGCCTATCTAATTTGTTTGGTGTATTTCAAAGTCCCTGAATGCCATGCTTTTCAACAAGGTTCCTCCAATTTCCAGGGGATACATCCGCATACTGTCAGAAAGTATCAGTGATACTGAAAAAAAATTAATCAAGAAATGCTGAGACCAGGAGCAACTACATTACTTTGTACACATCATGTTCATTCTCATTTATATCTCAAATCAGCCTGAACTATCTCTGGAAGCAAAAATGTTGAAACTGAGGCTGTCCTACTTTGGGCACCTCATGAGAAGGCAGGATTCCCTGGAAAAAACAAGAATGCTGGGAAAGGTGGAACACAGCAGGAAAAGAGAAGATCAAATGCAAGATGGACTGACTCCCTGAAAGAACCCACAGGCTGGAGTTTACAAAAACCAAGCAGGGCACTTGACAACAGGAGATTTTAGAGACAGTTCATTCATAGGGTCGTCATCAGTTGGAGGTGAATTGACAGCATATAACAACAACCTCCAATAATTGCAGTCATTTAAAAATAGTTTTGTCCATTATTCAAAGGTCAGGCTGTTTCCTGATGCACCAGGTTTTTCAGTTTAAAATGTTGCTTATATATATACACACACATACACACATACACTACACAATTGTAGCAGTTTGATGCCACATTAATTACCTTGACTTCACTCTGTGAAATATTTGGATACATATTCAGACAAAATGCTATAACTGTGTGGTACAAATACATCCTATACCCGTGTGACTTAAGTCCAGGCAGAGGAATGGCTAACTGATTAATCAGTGCTCAAGTTAATCAGGAGTAAAGAAATAGTCACAGTGTTTATGATGATTTCTTAAGTCATATACAAATGATACTGCACAAACCATGTCCACTTCCACTTGCTAGACATGAAGAAATATGGAGCATTAGCTGCAGACTAAATTTGTAACTGCAGTACATGTGACAGGCATGTCTCAGGATGCTTTATACAATTATGATGCGGTTTTCAAAGACAACCCTTTAAAGAATGGTACACTCAGGTACCTCTCGTTACCCATCCCTTATGGATTACTCTCAGTCAAAGACAGAAATTTTACTTTCTGGTCATTAGGCATCCTTCAGTCTCAAAAGACTATGGTAACGTGCTCTGTATGGAGGACTTGGAACAGCGTCTAGTGTGGCTGAGGAGGCCCATTTGAGTTGTTTCGATGCTGTATGCGAAGCTGGAGTGTCCTCTCCAGAGCACGAAGCCTGGGTAAAATAATATAGAGGATGGGCTGTTACCCAAGCAGCAAATCCCCCCTCTCCACGTCGCTGAAATAGTCCAGTGGAAAGGCAAGATCCAATACAACTGATTCCAGCGACATTGCAGGAGTTGCCAGAACGACACGACCTGGCTCTGGGACTCCGGCTCCGGATTTTGCCTCAAGGTTAACTCCTGAAGCCTTTTCCATGAGTGGATATAGCCACAAGGCAGTGGAAGTTTGAAATCAAAGTTTTCCTTCTCCTACATGAGCTGCCTTCCAGGGCTGATGAGCCCCACCTACCCAGCACTGCTGTCCCTAAAAGCCCACAGTGAAAATGCCTAATGGCCATGGTGCCTGAGAGGTTCTTAAGTTTTATATTACAAAAATGCTGTTGTTCAAAACTGTTCTTTGGAATTGTAATTAAATTTCCCGTCTCTGTTCTTGGTTTACTTCCCTCTCCACTTGTATTGCTTAGTGACTTATTTACCAGATACAGTACTTCACTGTATCTCCATCCTAACAACATTCCTGGTACTTAGATGGCTTGTATGATTGGCCCCAAATCACCACTTGAGCTTCATGTTTGAGCAGAGCCGTAACTAGAAATTTTGAAAACCAGTTTTGTCACAGTCTCCCACACGTTCTGTGTGGAGACAACAGCACGAATCTCATCAAGTGAAAGGAGTAGCATTTGATGCCTCCCAAAAGAAAAAGGAGGTTTCTAATTAAAAGGGGGAATTAGGAGGCATTGCCATATCTTTTCCCAACATTCACCATTAGATTCAGCAAAGCCCTGGCTGCACCACCCTAATTACAGCCCTGTGCTTGAGCATCAAGCTCTCCAGTTTTAGTCCAACGTTCTGAACACTATAAGACACTGCTACTCTTAAGAGCAACAACAAAAACTAGGATGCATTTAGGATATATATCTTTGCCACAGGGATAGTAAAGAAAAAGAAAAAAATAATAACAGTATTTGGTGTCCAAATTCAGTAACTTGCAAAAACATTGGTCCTCTGTTCAGAACACAGCACAGATCACAATGGTGGTGGTGGCGGGGAAGCTTGATAAGGCTTATCTTGTGGGAAGCAGAATTTCACAAGCGTTTAGTCCCTGCCATTCTAAAGTAATGCAAAATATGTTTCTGTGACATAGAAAAAATATTAGAAATATATTATTGGGATTAACTCTGCATTCTTTTCCTATGGTGCAGGAAAAATCCACATCAGGTTGATATGAGAACAGCAAGAGGTTTCCTAGAAGTTGCAGAGCTACATAGAAAACACCTTGGAGGGCAATTGCTATTTGGCCCTGATGGATTTTTGTATATATTTCTTGGTGATGGGATGATCACTATAGATGACATGGAGGAGATGGATGGTCTAAGGTACAGTTATTACCCATGGATAAAATCTTATTTGTTATTTATCTTAATTTTTTCTCATATCCATAAAGTATTTTCTCATTAGTTGTCTAATAACTGAACCATAGTCTAATTTGTCTGTACTGAACAAATTGGGAAATTATGTTCACTACACCATTTATTTCTGGATGAAACAGAAAAGAAAAATATATAGCAGAGACAGAGTTGGAAAGAATTGTTCAGCCTTATTTATAACAAGGCATGTTACTTAAGCAGAATTGCTAACAGGAAGAATTATTTGAGCAAAAGTGGCCAGTACAATAATAGGTACATGTTGATGTGTCAGTCTCACCTCTAAAACTTTGCAAAGCATGGCTGCAAAATCACACTCAAACTCAACAAAAATTATACTTAGTGAGAACATGATATATTACACTAATGGAGATAGCTCTTGCTGTATGATTTTTTTTTGCATCTATCCTGGTGTTATATCAAATTGAACAGTATCTAGTTATTTAAAAGATGTTTTTAAAATCAACTGAGTTATCCTCCAACTTTCTCAGTGATTTTACAGGTTCTGTTTTGCGTCTGGATGTAGACACTGATTTCTGCCATGTGCCTTATTCCATACCATGGAGCAATCCACACTTTAACAGCACCAATCAACCTCCTGAAATTTTTGCCCATGGACTCCATAATCCAGGCAGGTAAGTGGGTTTATGCATTTTCATCACAATTTCATTAGATTAACACATTTTTTTAAAAAAATCTAAATAATTAGAATTCCTTCATCCACGCATAAAAGGAAGGACAGGAGAAGAAAAGAAAATAACTCAGATTAGATTGTTTTTCATGGACAATTTATTTATAAACATTAAAAACAACATTTTTTTCAACTGAGGAAACCAATAATATCTCTACCCTAATCTACACAAGGTTGGACTAGGTTATAGAAAGATGAATGTTAGAATCCCTTTCTCAAATCAAAACTTTCAGCACTAAAGTGCCATTGATTTTGGCCAGTCTACTTGAGGCTCCAAGCCCTTCAGTTATTATTGATACATAGAGCTGTATAAATTCAGAGCTTCAAACCAAAAGGACAAATAAACATTATTGTTCAGGAATTTTCAAAATAAACTTTTCTTTCTGTTAAGAAGCTGACTCAGTATTATTCAGATTCAAATTACTATCCAGATATTATTCAAATTATTCAGGTACTCCTTATCCAGTTACATATGGGCAAATGCTGAATACAATGGCCCAAGTAAAAATGAGAGGCTACCTGGTTATACAGGCAACAGAGCTTTGACTTAAAAGAGAAGCTGCTGCAGGATAGAGGAGTCTGACCAATAAGGCAGTTTGCAGGGTTGCCTCCAACTGCAGCCATGGATTTAGATTGAATGGCTCAAATTACCATCAAACATTCCAAAATCAGAAGGAGGCGGTGGACCCAGTGCCATGAAGACTCCCTGGCATTGTTGCTCTGGCACAGACATTATCCATTCAGCAACTTTGCACTTGTATGGCTGTGGCACTTCCTGCTTCCCATCCCAATGCTTAACTATGGATGGGAATTCCTGTCATCTCTTAACAACCATGTCAAGAGATGACAGGAATTCCCATCCACCTTTGAGAGTTTCAGCCAGCAGACGTCCACACAACATTTTTCTGATGGCAGGTATATGCTAGATATTATGGCAGTATGATGTATAATACTTGGCTATAATAATAGGAGTATGTAGGTGTAAATACATCATTTGAACCTAAAATCTATTAGTGTTTTAGACCCCTGATTTAAGCAGATCTTGATGGCTGAGTTATCAGACTTCAAAATGAAGTCTATGCTTATTTTCTAATGATAACTGCAAGACAAGATAAAAAATAATTTTATATAAAAAACTACTGCTATGACAATCAGACATTTTAAACTCTGAAATAATTCCTTTTCTCATGACAAATTATAGTTTGCCCCATAGTGGCCAAAATCCAGCTGGCAAAAATCAACGTATATAAGACAATCATGCAGCAGTTTTTCCACTCCTGTTAGCTCCCCTTCATATATTTGTGCGCATGACTTCTCAATTACTGCAGCACAGGGCATATACACAAAAGCACCTGCTAGGCATGGGACTTCTGGTTAGTTGTTGTTGTTGTTGTTGTTGTTGTTGTTGTTGTTGTTGTTCTTGTTGTTGTTTTACTATAGCTCTCAGAATTCATGAAAAATTCCTTCAGCTAGAATTCCGGTAGCTGTAGCCAAAAAATCCAAGTCCTTAATTTCAGAAGACACACATGTGTCTCAGCAAGTCTCCCTCTGGAGCAGTGGCCATTAGCCTGAAGAAAAGAGAAAGGGATGTCAATGGCTAAGATCCATAAGAGCTGCAAGGACTGTTTTTTGAGACGAAACTTATACGTAGCCTAACAGACAGAGAGATTACCAGTCCCGTAACCACTTGCAGCTCCCATGGAGTTTAGTCATTCCATCCATTTCCTCCTTATTCAGGCTAATGGCCATCACTCTAGAGAAAGACTTGCAGAGGCACAGATGTGTGTTCTGAAACTCCTCTAAGGACTTGGACTTCTTAATTACACCTACCAGAATTCTGGCTGAGGAATTCCTGGCAAACTCTGTAGTGAAAAAATATCTGAATGTCCCATGCCCAGGAAATATGATCACTGTTTCATAATCCCATAACTGACCAGGACTCTGGACAGTGTGTTTTGAATGATAAATAATAGCTTATTGCTATGAGAACAGAAAAAGAAAAACAATCTGCTGCTGTGTAAAACAAAGTGTTCATGAATGGACATTGGCTATCCTCAATTATCCTGCCTTTTTGCTCCCAATCTTATAGTTCCAAATTCTTCTGTTTTAAACAACATATACAAGAAAGGGCATTTGAAATAATTTGTCAAAATGCAGAACATCAGTGGGTTAGTGAAGGAAACAAAAACTTGTGATTATTCTAATAATAAAAACTGAAACATAATAAAAGATTTTTTTATTTTATCTTGCTTTGTTAATATACTGTTATTGCACAGGTGTGCTGTGGATCGCCACCCAACAGATGCAAATATTAATTTAACAATACTTTGTTCAGACTCCAATGGAAGGAACAGGTCTTCAGCAAGAATCCTTCAGATAATAAAAGGGAAAGATTATGGTAAGGTCTGTTTAACATACAATGCATTGTATACATACCCTTGGTGTATAAAACACTGAGGGCACTATCCTCATATGTTTTAGTCATGTACTAGGCTAAAGCAGGGGGAGTAGCTTCAGCTAGTTCACAAAATGCCACTCCATTGCCTCTCTGTCTTAAGATACAAATGACTAAATCCAATTTCAGTCCTAGGTAGAGTAGATATATTGATATGTATTGATACAAGCAAAACCAGGGAGCTGGACAGGGGACAGATTGTATTTGTCTTCAATGTGGAAGAGATTGTCACTCTCAAATCGGCCTTCTGAGCCACACTAGACGCTGTTCCAAGACCTCCATACAGAGCACGTTACCATAGTATCTCGAGACTGAAGGATGCCTACTAGAGATATAAACGGGACATGTTAGTCATCACCCTAAGTCCCATTGATTTCAGTGATTTACTTTCATTTGGAGTAACTTTGGGTTTAGTTTAAAGTTCTTTGGGTTAAAACCCAAACGAAAAGTTATTGCACTTAATTTTTCTAAAATATTGGATAGCATTCTGTTCTGTAAGTGCAGCAAGAATAGCCTCGCTATCAGCAACAGACTGCTGCTAATTAACATGTTCCTTTTCATTTTTTGGGTACATGCAGTTTTGACTCATTGGACACAATTTGTATGTACCCTGACATTGAAAAGGGAGCTCCATAACTGGCAGCAGTCTGCAGGTGGTGGTTGTATAACTCCAGCTATATCAGTGGAACTGCACAAGAGGATACTGGCCATTTATTGTGAAGAAAATGCTGATTACAATTAGCTAAACATCCTTTGAATATTTCAGATACTTCAAAAACCTTATCAGGGCAGCCTTAAGTCAGAAGTGACTAGATGGCACATAACAGCAAATGTTTAGACATCACAGCTTGCTTTTAAGACACACATATAATCTGTTTTACTGTTTCACAGACTGATAATGTGGCAATTCAAAGGGGATGTTAATTTCAATTGAGCTTTCACACAAGAACCTGAAGCTTCAGCCCAGATCTTTATATTAGTAGCACAATTCTGATGCATGATTGTTTTGAAAATGGAGAAAAGTTATGAAAATAATTGCCATCTTCCCCCACATTGAAGATATTCAGCTCATGGTTAATGTTTCTCTAAGGAATTCAACAAATAGAGCAAGGTTGCCATAAGTATATGGCCAGACCTATTTGCCACAGAGGGTCTGTCATATTTCTGTGCAGACTTCCACATTGTTATAGAGTATGAGAACCTCTTTTCAAGTCTCTAATACTGTATCTACCCATATAAGCTTCCCAAAGACTACAATATGTGCACTCAGATCCTTTGCAATCAGTTCAACTTGAGCATGCCTTACTATGTGCTGTATTCCACAAGTATCCTATATATCTGTGAAGTTATTTCAAAAATATCATCCCTTTTGAGAAAGGCATTATGAAGCCCCAGCTCCACTGGAAAGTTCACCTAAAACTAATGTCAATCAAATGAAGTTACATTGTGATGTAAAATTATTGTCATCCAAGAAAAAAACCAATTAGAGTCAAGTACTGTGATCATCTGCTTTAAAAATAATGTATCAGATTGCACGGTATTTCCTACCTCATCCTGAAAGCTTGACATGCATATTCATTTTCCAAGTAATAAAATAAAATTAGTTTCTGGCTTCCTATTAGAGTGCAGCTAATGAAGACCTACCATATCCGTGCTGTTAATATAAAACCATGCATTCTGGAAAAACAAAAGAGAGTCTTGTGGCACCATAAAATTTGGCACATTTATTATGGTATAAACATTTATAGACTAGAATCCACTTCATAAGAAGCATGAAATGGAGAGAAAAAATAAATGTATATGGTAGAGGGGTCAAATGACAATGTAATGCAAAACAAAACAAAAGAAAAGAAAAACTCAGTGTAAACATTCAGTTAAGGATGAAATGAATTGTCATAGATCACAAGCTAAATATGAGCCAACCGTGTGAAGTGGCTACAAAAAAGGCAAATGCTATATTAGGCTGCATTAACAGAAGTATATTTTCCAAATCTCATGAGGTACTAGTCCCCCTTTATTCAGCACTGGTTAGGCCTCACCTTGAGTATTATGTCCAGTTCTGGACACCACACTTCAAGAAGGATGCTGACAAATTGGAACAAGTTCAGTGGAGGGCGACAAGGATGATCAAGGGGCTTGAAACCAAGCCTTATGAGGGTAGACTGAAGGACTTGGGCATGTTGAGAAAAGAAGAGAGAGGGGTGATATGATAACACTTCAAATACTTGAAAAGCTGTTATACAGAGGAGGGGCAGGATCTGCTCTTGATCATCCCAGAGTGCAGGACACGCAACAATGGGCTCAAGTGACAGGAAGCCAGGTTTTTATTGATTATCAGGAAAAACTTCCTAACTGTTAGAGCAGTAAGCCAGTGGAACCAATTACCTCGTGAGGTAGTGAATACTCCAACACTGGAGGCGTTCAAGAGAAATGTAGACAAGCACCTGGCAGCTATCTTTTGATTTGTTTTCCTGCATTGAGCAGGGGGTGGACTTGCCGGCCTTATAGACCCCTTCCAACTCCACTATTCTATGATTCTATGAAGAATAAGGATGCTGACTATTCACAACAACAGATTTCGGTGGAAACACAGGTTTCCTAACATTGCTCAGTGTGTTGACGTATATAGTAGAACAGGAAACAATTTTCTTTATTTATAACCCCAAAATAGAACTGAACTGTGTTATTCATTCCTATAAAGCTACTTCAAACTATAAAATCTCTTTGAAATTCCTCTGTAGAAGAATGACAGCTTTCTTGGAAGTACATTTGAGCTTTGAATTATCTTCATTGATCCTGAAATATGTTTTGATTTTATTATGATTTCCTTGAATACTTTGTCCAAGCTGCTACTTGCCAAGAAGAACTTAAGAAACCTATCCAACTGGATGATGCTTACAGGACACCCACAGTGCTAGTCCTTCTTATAAAAGAAAGTGTAAACATGGCACATAAATAAACATTTTGTTTTCTTCTTCCAGTAGCTCAAATTATGTAGCCTTGCACATTATTTTTCAAGCTATGACTACAGACAACAGAAACATTCCTGGCCACTGTATCTAGGCTTGCTTGTATTACTATTTTTTTTAAAACATTCATGTATTCTTGCAAGCCTCAGCTGTTCATGAAGTGTGAAAGCTAAAATAAATGCTGTAGCTTCTAAAGACCTATGCACTCTAAAACTGCTTCCAGATTCTTGCCATGCATGATATTTCTCTGGGGATATGTATGTGCGCTCTGATTTTCACATTCGATTTTCCTTGTCTTTGAGACCTAGGTATGACATCTCACAAAAGTATATAAGCATCTTTAAAAATATCATGATCTTCAGTTAGAAGAGTTCATTCTGTATTATAACACACAGTAGAACTGATATTCTAATTACTACTGCCTTCCCTGAATAAAATATATCTTCAGCAAATGAACTTGCAGTTCATCTAACATTGTGGTCATTTCTTTTCAGAAAGTGAGTCTTCGCTTTTAGAATTCAAGCCATTCAGTAGTGGACCACTGGTTGGTGGATTTGTATACAGAGGTTGCCAGTCTGAAAGACTATATGGAGCTTATATATTTGCTGATCGCAATGGGTAAATTTCTTTAAATACACATTTTTTAAAACAGATTATATTTATGCACACACACACACAGAGAGAGAGAGAGAGTGCTCCCAGGTTGTGACATGCTCTCCTCAGGAGTAGATATAGGTATGAACCAGGAAGTTCATCAAAAATCACTGGTTCTTTGGTTTGGTTTGGCCCATTTTCTCTCCCCTCACCCCCACAGCCTGCCTGCCCCCTTCCCCTGCTCCCCATGCCCTTCCTTCTGGCCCCCAGCCCCTACCTAGTCCTGCTGCCTCCTCCTCCTCCATTGTTGTCCCGGTGGCCTTCATTTTCAGGCAGCTTTTAATAACTCTGCGTCCCTGGATGCTTTTTAGCTAAGTAATGATACACCTTAAGTATTTTTAATTAAAGCATTTTAATTACTATTGTTTAAAAAAAAGCATTTTAATTACTATTGTAGAGGGACGTGGTGGCGCTGTGGGCTAAACCGCAGAAGCCTGTGCTGCAGGGTCAGAAGACCAAGCAGTCGTAAGATCGAATCCACGCGATGGAGTGAGCACCCGTTGCTTGTCCCAGCTCCCGCCAACCTAGCGGTTCGAAAGCATGCAAATGCAAGTAGATAAATAGGTACCATCTCGGTGGGAAGGTAAACAGTGTTCCGTGTCTAAATCACATTGGCCATGTGGCCACGGAAAGATTGTCTTCGGACAAACGCTGGCTCTATGGCTTGAAGAGTGGGATGAGCGCCGCCCCCTAGAGTCGGACACGACTGGACAAAAATTGTCAAGGGGAACCTTTACCTTTAATTACTATTGTAGCTTAATTGTTTTTTAATGTGCACTTTATTGTGTTTTTTAATTTTACTAGTTTTAACATTGTGAGCTGCCCTGAATCCCCTCATCAGGAGACAGGTGACCTATAAATGAGACAGACAGACAAATATATATATATATACACACACATACATACTGTGGGCTATAATACCACACTGTAGTACTGTATGTCTTGAAAACATTGTGTTGCAGTGGCTCCTGTCCTTTGTAGAGGGCTAGAATCAGATGATGTTTCTGGGTGATTTCTTATCTAGTTCACAGCTACTGGGTGCCTCAAGTTTCCATCTTGTCCCACAGTAAGTTCAGCATCAACATGAAACCACTGGAAGATGTAGTCTAGAGTTTTGGACTAAAGTGTACATGGGTGGCATGCAGCTCTTGTTTTCTTTTCTGGATATAAGTCTCAGGGAGGTGATGGAAACCCTGAACAGATATCTGGATGAAGCCTGAGGGCATATGGAGGGCATATAAAATGAAATTTCCTCCAGTTAAGATAGATATGCTGTGGACTGGAAAATCTGATCAGGACAAAGAATGGCAACCATTTTGCTTTGTTGACAACTATCTGAAAGACTATGTATGCTAGTTAGTAGTTTTACTCGATCAACACTACTAGTGGCTCAGTGCCTTAGTACTTAAGCTGGTTCACCTAAATAGAGAATACAGGCCTTACTTCTTGCTCTGGTTACATCTGGACTAGAGTACCATACTGCTGCAATGTGCTCTATTCAGAATGGTTTGGAAACTTCAACTTATTCAGAACATAGCTGCTTGGATACTTGTAGGGACTAAGAATCTGGAGCATATAATAGCTATACTGTACTAAAAACCAGTTAGGTAATGCCTTTATTAGGCTACCAAAATATGAAAAGAAAAGAAAAAGGAAAGAAACTAAGGTTTTGAATCCTTCAAAACTCTTCACCAAGCTAGTCTACAAAACTAGACTCTGCTAAGAATGGTAGCAGAAAATTCATTCCGGCCTGAAGCCATGGGAGTAATAATCACTTAAGTTCCGAAATGGAGACTTCAAATTCAGAGAGGCAAGGAATCCTTTGAGGTGTGATCTAATAACACTACACCTCAGGTTGTCTCTTCACACTTGCAGTCTCCATTTGGGAACTTACATTTTAACAGCTCCATGGCTATAGCATCCAGCAAATCTGTGCGAACACCCACATTTATCATAAACCTATTAGTAACTAAGTAACTTTATTGGGCCATAAATAACAATCACCTCTGGTTTTGTTTTGCTTTTTAAATTTTTCCACTTGTGGACATATGGTAAGCTTCCTTTTAATTTACTATCATTGATATAAAGGAAAGCAATATTTCATAGGCCCATTTTTTGTTGTTATTTCTCATAAGAGGTAGGTGCTTCAAGATTTCTCTTCAGTGCTCTACACCAGTGGTCCCCAACCTTGGGCCTCTAGATGTTCTTGGACTACAACTCCCAGAAGGCTTCACCATGGCCTCTGCTGGCCAGGATTTCTGGGAGTTGAAGTCCAAGAACATCTGGAGACCCAAGGTTGGGGACACTGCTCTACACAACATATAATCTGGAACATGGGTTTCACAGCTCAGACGTTAACATTGCAACCTTATATTTGCTTCCTCAAAAATAAGTCCATTTAGTTCAATGTAAGTAAGTACGTATAAGATGATAGTCTAATGCAGTGGTTCTTAACCTTGGGTTACTCAGGTGTTTTTGAACTGCAACTCCCAGAAACCCCAGCCAGCACAGCTGGTGATGAAGGCTTCTGGGAGTTGCAGTCCAAAAACACTTGAGAAACCCAAGGTTAAGAACCACTGGTCTAATGAACTCCTGTTTATGTACAGTATCTTTATCATAATTCCTGTGTTGATTCTATTAAAGTTATAAAAATACTGTCATTATATGTTTACAGGAATTTTTTAACACTGCAACAAAATCCCATGACCAAACAGTGGCAAGAGAAACCGTTATGTCTCGGCAACAGCGGCTCATGCAGAGGCTTCTTTTCGGGACATGTCTTGGGATTTGGCGAAGATGAATTAGGTAAGAAGAAAGCAACTTCTTAATACTTTACTTCAAACCACCAATTGGAATTTGGCCAAAATGTGCCTTGTTAATTTTCATTTTTTTAAATGAATGTGCACACCTCCTTCAAGTATACCGTTATCAGTGTTTATTTTCACGACCATATTATTATCAGCAAGACACAAAACAAAAAATAATAAAACACAAAAAATGAAGATAATAAATAAAATTGGGAAAAATAATAGCAGTAAAACTGTCCAGTATTTAAAAATCTCATTAGACTTTATTAGGCCATTATAAAGGTTTTCAGATGACCCAAGATAAATACTTATCAAGAGTGAACAAAATTCAGCCTCCCAATGGTGCTTGGGCTCTGATTCGTAGTAGTCCTTTAGCTGTGGTGTGCAAGGGCTAGCAGCTGCTAGTGTTGAGCTGTGATTGGACACTTCCATAATGAGGGTAACAAAGGAGCTCCCCATTAATTGTTAGTGAATTTAGAGGTTAGTCAGGGGACGTGGTGGCTCTGCGGGCTAAACCGCAGAAGCCTGTGCTGCAGGGTCAGAAGACCAAGCAGTCGTAAGATTGAATCCACGCGACGGAGTAAGCGCCCGTCGCTTGTCCCAGCTCCCGCCAACCTAGCGGTTCGAAAGCATGCAAATGCAAGTAGATAAATAGGGACCACTTCGGCGGGAAGGTAACAGCGCTCCATGTCTAAGTCGCACTGGCCATGTGACCACAGAAGATTGTCTTCGGACAAAACGCTGGCTCTATGGCTTGGAGACGGGGATGAGCACCGCCCCCTAGAGTCGAACACGACTGGACAAAAAATGTCAAGGGGAACCTTTACCTTTACAATGAAGGAAAAGGAACAAATAGGAAGTGTGAGTGATAAGAAGACAGCACGTGACTCAAAAATGATTTTTGTCTTAAAATGTGAATAATGTTTAAAACTGGGATGTTTGGAAGCTTTTTTTGGTGGAGGGAGGACACAGAACGTGTTCACATATATCTACAACTGAGTGCTTCTGAGGGGGAGGTGCCACCAATGCCAGTGCCATTTGTAAGGAAGTGTGATTGTGCACTTTTTTTTGGTATTTTGCAATGGGAGAACAAAGAGGAAGGAACAAATTAAAATGGACCAAAGTGCATGACCACCTCGTGCATATCTGTGCATGCAAAACTGCAGGGATGTAAAAGCAGTATAAAACTGCTGACACAATTCAATTTGGAATCCAGGAATCCCAAGGATTCTAAATCCACATTACACATTAACTGAAAAAAATAATGGCCATATCCACAATTTCTAAAACATGTGAAAATTCCTAGAAAATAGATAACCATTGCTGGAATATATTTGAAATGCATCAGTGTATAATTAGTACTGCTACCATTTTCTTGTTTCCTCAATAAACATATTCAAAAAGTATTCACCAGTGTTGCCCTGCCAACATTTAGTACCTATTCACACCGTTAAATGAGCTGTAGTAGAATGGAAGAGATATGCCATAATGATTAACAATACATGCCTAACTGATACTAGCAGAAAGAATACTAAGTGCTAAGAACAGATATTGTGACTGAAGAGCATAGTATGTATTAGCAAAGTTAATTCATAGACTTTGATCAGAGACACCTGGATTCAAATTCTTTTTTGAACCATGAATTGAGAGGGATGGTTGGCTGTTATTCTTCCTGTCCTTCCATTTGCTACACTTGAAATGGCGATACTCATCTGTTATGATAAGGATGAACAAGATGAACTAGGCCACAAAAGGGAATGTCATTTTGAGACCACTGTTTCTGATATATAAAGAGTACTTTACTGAATGCCAATATTAATGTATTCTATGTATTTTATTAATAGGTGAGGTTTACATTGTAGCAAGCAGTAAAAGCATGACACAGTCTCACAACGGGAAGCTCTACAAGATTGTTGATCCCAAAAGGTAAGAAATTAAGCCAAGTGTCTAATGGGGACATTATTTTGGTTTCTAGAAATATCCAAAGAATGGGTAATTTAAGCAATGACCTTTGGCATTGCATATGAAAACAAGCTTTACTGAAATCAAAAATAAACATGTTTATGATCAGAGTGTTATCATGTAAATCTGGTTCCCTTCTGACAATCAGAGAATCAAATTCTAAATATATGTATATGTATATGGAGCACATGATCTTTTAAATTTATAATTAAACATGAAAAAATAAATATTTGTAGGACATTTTATTCATCCCATTTTATGCCACAAAACAAGATCCAAAACAAGACTACCTCCATCATCACTACCCAAGAAAGGACTGCCATTCAAACTAATAGTGCAGTTCCATGAATTAAGTACGAAGAACGTATTCATCAACGTTTTTAATGAGAAGGGGAAGGATACTGTGGAGAACTAGGTAGTAGGGCAGATGATAACTAAATGAATGCTTGGACTTTGGCCTACTGGGATGTGCATAAACGTCCAAAGTTGTAGGGAAGTAGGTATCAGACAATTTTTCACAGAGGAGGGGCAGCTGTATTTCAGAATTTGAAACTATCTCATAAATATATGCTACACTGAAGTTCTAATGTTCAGGGGTAGATCTGCCACTGTAATACAATGTTATTGACTAGGAAGCAGACATTGCAGCAGTCAATCATGCATATTATATTTTCATTATTTATGTTTTCTAATGGGAAGTATTTTTACAGAACAAATCTTGTTGACTTAATTTTGATTGTTTAGTCTGTTGGTATGTGGACTTAGGTGAATTTTACACCTTTAAACCACTATTAGTATCTAATTACAAATGGGTTACTTTGTTTGACCTTGGCTTTGTGCTGCTGTTGCCTCAGCGATTAGGGTGGTCTCAAAATGACATACCTGAAAGGCCAGACCTCCCAATGCAGAGTTCCTAGTTAGTTATTTGATATGTGGCAGAGGGTAATATATCTAGCTGAAATAAGACAAGAGGAAAAGACACTGGGCTAGTGACTCAATGTTCTGTGGGATACATTTGAAATTAAAAATGAAACAGTGATCAAAATGTGCTGCAGAATTTTATAAGGATTCTATTTCTGATGTTTTGACATGTATGAAACACTACAGTGTAAAAATTAGCAACATATTTAATGCAGTCTTTAAATGACTCATCTCAGTTTAAAGAGTGCACAGAAAAGGAGTCTATACCACGACTGTGAGGTGGATATCTGCAGCATACCATTGACAGCCAGTGACATCACTCTCATTGCACAGAAGAAGCTATGCAACAGGATGGCAGCTACAATATATATGGATGGTTGTATCCACAAATACGCACTGAAATTGCTCTGCCAGTCTGTACAGGGTTCCTTCATTATTTGTGTGCAACAGAGTCTTATATCATTTCCAATGAGTGACAGATAGAACAGTAGATCTTCTCATGCTTCATGCCATTAGCAGGATCTCATAGGGACTCCACATAAAATATTGCTCTTCTGTACACATAGCATCCCAACTGTATGTAGCAGAGGTCTACTGAATCATATTTGCTCATACTCTGGATATATATATATATGTAACATAGTTTCCCAGAACATATATTAAGTATTATGAGAGACTTTCTAGGTTACCTGATAGAAGAACAGGAACCTCTCCTCTCGGCATTCCCCCCTTTCCTGCATCCACATTGATATTCTCAGAAAATATAAAAGCTGAATAGGGCTTAACTCACAGGGCAAGTTAGCCATCCTAGAATTCTCTCTGCTACACAACTTGTTAAGGCATAGGTATCATGTCCTCCCCCTTCATGGATTGCTGCCTTCTCATAGCGAAGGGGCTTGAGTAATTCAGAGAAGTTATGGCCTATGCCATGCAGGGACACCCAAGAAAGATGGGTGATAGTGGAGAGTTCTGACTAAAAGCAATCCACCTGGAGCAGGAAATGGCAAGCCATTCCAGTATCTTTGCCAAGAAAACTTCATGAACAGAAACAAAAGGCTAAACGATATGATGCTGGAAGATGAGCACCTCAGGTTGGGAGGCATCCAACATGCTACTGAGGAAGAGCAAAGGACAAGTACGAATAGCTCCAGAGCTAATGAAGTGGTTGGGCCAAAGCCGAAAGGACTCTCAGCTGCGGACGTGCCTGGAAGTGAAAGGAAAGTCCAATGCTGCAAAGAAAAATACTGCATAGGAACCTGGAATGTAAGAGCTATGAACCTTGGTAAACTGGAAGCGGTCAAACAGGAGATGGCAAGAATAAACATTGATACCCTGGGCATCAGTGAACTAAATTGACGGGAATGGGCGAATTCAATTCAGACTATTATCATATCCACTACTGTGGGCAAGTATCCCATAGAAGAAATGGAGTAGCCCTCATAGTCACAAAAGAGTGGGAAAAGCTGTACTGGGGTAGAATCTCAAAAATGATAGAATGATTTCAATACGAATCCAAGACAGACCTTTCAACATCACAGTAATCCAAGTTTATGCGCCAACCACCAATGCTGATTTACAACACCTTCTATAACTGACACCAAAGAAAGATGTTCTTGTCATTATAGGGGACTGGAATGCTAAAGTAGGGAGTCAAGAGATAAAAGGAACAACAGGTAAGTCTGGCCTCTTTTCCAACAACACAAGAAGCGGCTCTGATCATCAGCTACTTATAGCAAAATTCAAACTTAAACTGAAGAAAGTAGGAAAAACCACTGGGCTAGTCAGGTGTAATCTAAACCGAATCCCTTATGAATACACAGTGGAAGTGAAGAACAGATTTAAGGAACTAGATTTGGTGGACAGAGTGTCTGAAGAACTATGGATAGAGGCTTGCAACATTGTACAGGAGGCAGCAACGAAAACCATCCCAAAGAAAAGGAAATGCAAGAAAGCAAAGTGACTGTCCAATGAGGCCTTACAAATAGTAGAGAAGAGAAGGGAAACAAAATGCAAGGGAGATAGCGAACGTTACAGAAAATGGAATGCAGACTTCCAAAAAAGAGCAAGGAGAGACAAGAGGGCCTTCTTAAATGAACAGTGCAAAGATAATGAGGAAAATAATAGAAAGGGGAAAACCAGAGATCTGTTCAAGAAAATTGGAGGAACATTTTGTGCAAAGATGGACATGATAAAGGACAAAAATGGTAGGGACCTAACATAAGCAGAAGACACCAAGAAGAGGTGACAAGAATACACAGATGAATTATACCAGAAAGATCTGGATGTCCCGGACAACCCAGATAGTGTGGTTGCTGACCTTGAACCAGACATCCTGGAGATTTAAAATCTTAAAAGAAGATGCTGTTAGGTGCAACGCTCAAGATCCAATGAAGTTTGGAAAACTTAGCAGTGGCCAGAGGATTGGAAAAGATCAGTCTAC